GCTTCTCCCTCTCCCACTCCCCCTGCTTGTGTTCCTGCTCTCGCTATGTCTCTCTCTGTCAAATAAATAAATAAAAAATCTTTAAAAAAAAAAAAGAGTCTCCTATGGTTTACCTCCCTCTCTGTTTTTATTTTATTTTATTTTCCTTCCTTACATTCATTTTCTCACTTAACTTTGATGTGTTTCTCCAAACATTTCCACCAGGGAACAAATCCGTATTATATGTGTCACTTTTCTCATCATCATGCACCCCTGCCACCCCCAACTTTCATCAAAGGTGCTCACCTTTTACTTGAAAAGATAGATAGAGGCTATCTGATTTGAATTCTCTACCTCCCTCCAACTTCAGCAAAGTACCACTTTCCTTCCAGGTCCGGAGGCAGCCCTCTTCCTTCCTATCTAAATTAATTCCTCCACATTTTCTACCCTTGGGCATTAGGTGATGAAAGTCCCAACAGTTTTCTGCAAATATGGATTGCCTGAAAGAACCAATTATTTCATTTAGAATAGAATATTTTACACAAAACCTGAATACTTTTGAAACCTAAGGTTTTAAATCTTGGATACAGGGTAACCGTTATTTGAATGAATGAGACATTCACAGAAAAGTATTGGTAGAAGTTGAGTAAGAATATAGGTAAAGAGCAAAATAATGTTAACTCCCATCTTTATTTTCCAGAGTTTTTCCTAATTTTTAGTTCTCGAGGATTTTGCAGTATGTTGAAAAACATCATTATAATTTTATACTGCCCAAATAGACACTAAGTGGCCATCAATTTACTTTACTTACTTCTTTATTTTTTACTTTATTTACTTTATTTTATTTTATTTATTTTAAGGTATTGCTGCACTGCAGGATTACATTGGGTAAGAAAAGAGGAGGAAAAAAAATCCTGGGCAGATAAATTCTTTTACTTTTTGTGATCCCTGCCCAAAGTTGCTCTTGTTTTTTAGGTATTGGAACTTTTACATCATATACATTAGAATTCTAACACCTCACAAAGTTCAAATGTGTGTCAGTGGAGAGAATGATTAAAATTGCTATAACATTTGGATCTTTATTGCTTTAGATGCTCTCTTGCTGATCATATTCCATGCCAAATTTCTAATACAAATCCCCCTCTTGAAATATTGACATAATGTAATGCTTCTTTTTGAAAGACAGTGAGTGCTAAGGAATGATATTGTCTGGTCAAAGATCATTGTGCTTTGAATATATCATTGTTATTTGTCCTTATATTAGAGAACCATCTGTGACCGAATTGGTACAGGAACAGGAGCAAAACCAGCTGTGGTTGACATTACACTCCAGCTGGGAGAGCCTCAACGGGACTACTTTGCATGAACTGTTGGTAAAAGGGTAAGACCGCTTGCACAAGAGCTGTGTAGAGTGGATTATGGAGCAAGAGTCTATCATCAGGGACCTTCTCCTACTTCTAATTTAAGATAATCCAAATTTATCACGTCAATAAAGAACATCCATAGAATGGTGATTGGCCTTTATATTTCAACACTGTTTGGCTTTATTTCTTCTTTCTAGACATAGATTATTTTTTCTCTTGCTAATTACATGTTTCTTTAATGATGATTACAGCAACTATCATGGGGAAGGAAGAAGAACTTAGGTTCTAATTTTGGAGTTTTTTTCACATCCTATTCAAAGTAAATTCTCATATCTGCAGTTTGTACAGATTCTACATATAACTAGTTAACAGGGAATTGAAGTAATGAGAACTGATCAAACTTGGACAGTCTGAGGAAAAAAATGGACACAAAATGAAATTATAATCAAGTAGCCTTGAAAGAATACTTCTGAAAATTTTCCCTAAAAAATCATGGCATCTTGAACAAGGCTGTCTCCCTTGTCTATGGCTGGGGATATGGGGATATGGAGGAAATCGAAGGAATTAACACTTATTTAGTGGCTATTACATTATAGGGTCATAGCTACAGAATATTTAAATAACTTGATCAAAACTCACAGCCCACAGTGGCCTCTCAACTCAAACCAAGTTAATCTGACTCCAAAGCTTTTAATAAGTGCTAGAGAAACCACTTAAGAATTTCAAAGAAATCAAAAGGTAGGCCATTTCTCTTTAGAATGTCTTGAAAATTTCCCCAGAGACCGAACTCTGCAGCCAAATTTCTGAAGGACTTCCTTCAAAACAATGACCTGAATCTTTCAACAGAGTGATTTTTCCCCCCAAATTGCAAATGACAGAAAAGCCCCTTCAGGTTTAATACATACACACATATGTACATAGATACATTCAATTGTAAATTGGGAGTTGGTAGAACTGGTTCTACTTCTGGCTTACTAACTAGATTTGTGATCTTATATAACCACAATTTCCTATAAAATAAAATTTATTTTATTTTTATTACAGATAGTCTTTGCTGTTTTTTCCTATTTCTACAAGTTGTGATTTTGCGATCTAACTAATTAACAACTGATTATTGAGTATCTCTTCTCTGGCAGGTTCAGTGCCAGGTTGTGAGGAGATGTAGGAGTGAGTGAGGGGAACAAGGGCCCTCATTCCAAGGAATATGCTATATAGGTGGACAGAGAGACTATAAGCCAGTAAACAAAAGGAATTTCAGATATTTGGAAATACTACAAAGAAATTAAGGATAACAAGATAGAGAGTAAGGAGGAGACAGGACTTTAGGTTGTGGGAAGGCAAAAAGCAGGAATGTTTTTCTGTATTATATAATTTATTGATACAAATAATTACGCATGCCCCCATGCAGATTTAACAAGAAATGAAAGCACAATAAATCCTCAAAAAGGAAAGTGGACATGACATATTTAGGGATTTTTTTTTTTCTGAGAAATCTATGATTCTAAGCACATCACAGTATTTTTGACAGTCCCAAAGTGTCTTTTGTTTTTTAATTTATACTATGAATAAATGCTTCATGGTTGGAAGAGAACTTCGTGATTGAAATTTAATGTACCCTAAAGTGAGTTCTCTTGTGCAGCCACATTGATAGATGTTAAAACATGGCCCATGTTCTTACCTTTAAAGGTTAACTATGATTTTTAGAAAGGTCTTTCTTTCCTGAACTTACTTCCTGTTAAGTTCTACTGACTGGTTCTGATCCCACCACCTAGAGATACATGGAATAAATTTAACCCCCCTTCTTCCTGTCAGCCAATCATAGATCCACATTTTAATATCACAGGTCTCAGGGCGCCTGGGTGGCTCAGTTGGTTAAGCGACTGCCTTCGGCTCAGGTCATGATCCTGGAGTCCCTGGATCGAGTCCTACATCGGGCTCCCTGCTTGGCAGGGAGTCTGCTTCTCCCTCTGCCCCTCCCCCCCTCATGTGCTCTCTCTCATTCTCTCTCTCTCAAATAAATAAATAAAAAAATCTTTAAAAAAAAAAATATCACAGGTCTCGTCAAAATTTTTTTCCAGTCTAAAAAATTTAGTTCCTTTATCTGTTCTCTAACTGTTTGAAGTGATACTTTATTTCTCTCAAACTATTTGCAACTTCTTTTGGACATCCACATAAAAATCTGACATGCTCCTTCCTCACCAAAGATTCTAAGAAGTAGCCCAGTTCCCTTGCCTTCCTCTGCCTACTTTGAAAATCATGGTTTGAGTCAATATTCTGGGTGGTGCCACAGCCAAGATGATGTGGGAAACTTTGCTAACAGTAGTTTCTTTTCCCACCCATGTGACATTATGTTATGATGATATTAAAGAAGCTTAAAAAAAAAAAAAGGTACACGTCCTCCATATACCCTTATTTCCAAGGTGATATTTGACAACAGCCCTGCCTCAAGAATTTCTGCATGAATTTCTATTACTCAAAGAATGTGACCTCTGGGAATGGTTGAACCTATGTCTTGCTTTTCACTGGTGAAGTGTTTGAAGTGAATGATAAATATGTAACTTAACATTATGCCATTTTATGTTTCCAAATCTAGGCAGGCTTGTCATAGCAGAAGTAAGATTTCTCTTCTGTGTACTAAACAAGGTGAGAGCATTAGTGGTGTGGCAATGGAATATGATCTTAATTTAACTGGGTTGGCTCAGGGGAAGAACAGGACTTTGCACTTAACAGCAGAGACCCAAGTATCTCGCTGGGTTTAGCGGTGAATCACACGCTGTCTTTCCTGCTCCTCGGTAGACTGCGGGCGTCGTCCTGCTGCCCGAATGAACAAGAGGATCCTTGGGGGTCGGACGAGTCGCCCCGGAAGGTGGCCATGGCAGTGTTCCCTGCAGAGTGAACCCAGTGGACACATTTGTGGCTGTGTCCTCATTGCCAAGAAGTGGGTCCTGACAGTTGCCCACTGCTTCGAGGGGTAAGCTGCACTTTGTCCTTTGGCTTTGCCTGGATTTGATCATTTTGTCCCTTGGGCCTTGTTAGTGGCGGATGTCATTCTGTGAAGCCACTTCAGTGCGAAAGCCACAGTTGATCTACTTCATCTGCTTAAGTTTTTTTACTCTTGATGTTGTCATCCTATGTAGGTGCTAATCATTTATTGGAAATGGATGTATATTGCTTATGAATTTTTCCCTAAAGAGGGAGGAAGAGGAAGACGTTTAGGAGGTTGACTGTCCAGCTAGCATTAGTCTCTTTGCTAGCCCTTTTAAATACATCGAATACACCTGAGGTTCAACAAAGAGGATTGATGTATACTACAGGAAGGTGAGGATACTGGAGGGACTAGTGAGGACTTTGAGAAGGAGAGTTAAAGGTACCACAATATGTGTATAAGGGTTCTCCAGAGAATGAGAGACCAATGAGAGAGGAGGGCTGAATTTATTTTAAGAAATGGTCTCACATGATTGTGGGGGTTGCTGCTGAGTCCAAAATCTAATGGTGTAGATCAGCAGCCTGGAGACTCAGGGAGAGTTGCAGTTGGAGTCCAAAGGCAATGTGCTGGCAGAATTGCTTCTTGCTCAGGAGAGGTTAGTCTTTGTTCTCTTTAGGTCTCCAATATATGGGATGAGGATAATCATATTATGGAGGGTAATCTGCTTTATTCAAAATCCACCAATTTAAATGTTAATCTAGCCCAAAAAACACCTTCACAGAAGCATCTAGAATAATGTTTGACCAAATATTTGGGCGCCATGGCACAGCCACATTGGCATATAAAATTAATCATTACAATATGCCTAAAGGGAGCAGAAAAATAAGACAAAGGGCAAATCTACCCTAAATTGACAACCATCACTGTAGAAGGTCCTCTCCCGTTCCAACCCTCTGTTGTGTATTTTAGGAGCAAAAAAACCCCAAGCCCAACAGTTACAATAACAAACACACACAAAAAATCTTAAACATTTAGTATGTTCACACAAGATTCTGGGGGTCAGACATTTGGACATGACTTAGCTGGTGCAGTTTGTCTCTGATCAGCCATGTCTGGGGCCTCAGCTGGAAGATTCTAAGGCTGAGGGCTGGAACCATCGGAAGTCAGGCAGTCAGTGCTGCCTGTTGGCTGGGGCCTTAGTACATCCTGGTGGCTGGCACCCCCCAGAACCAGCTTCTCCAAAAGGGAGACCTAGCCTCCAAAGACATACATGGTGCCTCTTCTGTGTGATTGGTCAGAGCCCTCACAAGCCCCACCCAGATCCAAAGCAAAGAAACAAAGGACTCTACTCTCAGTAGGAGGAGGATTTGAGGACAGGTTTTAAAAACCACCATACCACTTTTTCTCCCTATTTTTTAAAAATAATTTTACTTTAAGTAAAATTAAATATTAAATAATAGCAAAAATTCAAAACGAAATAATTCATAGTTCTATCACCTAACTAAATTGTTTTCATTTGATCAGGTTAAGTTCTAGAAAAAAAATGCAATTTCTTTCTTTCTTTTTTTGCCTATTGTTTTATTTTTAGCTTTGCCACTTACTGTGTCACCACGGGTCAATTCATTAACTTCTCTGGTCCACAGTTTCTTCACTTGTGACATGAGGGAAATAACAGTCCCTACTGCACAGGGTTGGTGCGGGCAGTAAGTAAAATAGTCTTGTGCAAAGCCTTGGGAACCATGCCTGATGCTGATCAGTGAACTCTCAGTAAAGGTCAGCTTTTCTTTTAAAAAATTACTGCCAAAAATACGCATTCTACCTTTCCCCTTTGCATTACGGCATGAGTATTTTTGCACTTTGCTGGCAGTATTTTTATCTTCTTCCATACTCTACTTTCTCATCAACATCACAGTAACCCCTGTTACAGCCTAGCCAATGTTCTTTCTCACCTATAAACACATTTTTCACAGGGTGCTGCTGTTTGCTTTTACAACTTGGAATCACAATCTGTGCTTCTGTTTGTTAAGTTGTTTTTCTCATACAACAATATATTATGGACCTCCCCCTAGGTCAATGGATGTAGCTCTAGCTCTTTTTCAAAACTAAATGATATTCCCTTATCTACATTTACCATAACTTTTTCTATTACTCCCCAGATAATGGACATTCAGGTTAGTTCCAATTTGCTGCCATCTTAATAATACTGCAATACATCTTCTCAAACAAAGCTACTCACCTCCTTGTCCTCTTGTTTCTATAGGCTAGAGTCCCAGCATGTATACTTAGCTCTCCATGGGGGTTCCAGAGATGAATACATGTTTCCTTCCTTGGAGTGCTAACCTAGTAAGGAGGCAGACATTTAAACAAGTAATTAGAATATAATGCAATAAGTGATTATAAAATGGAAATGTGTATATCCAGTTGATTGTTCTTTTTGGGAAAATAAAATATAAAAAATTAAACCAGAACCTCCTCTTGAGAAGTTTTAATGTGTAAAGATCAAAAATGATTGGGAGAGTCTGTGTAGTGTGTCGGGAAATACATGACAGTGTTATTGCTTTGGAAGGGGCCAGATGTTTCCAGATGTCTTTTCCAGTTCTGATTGATAACTCCGTGATAAGCAGAGATGACACTATCAAGAGTGCATTCATCAAAACACCTAATTTAGGATTACCTAAATAAATCCAGCAGTTCTTTAAGGGAATAATATTCTTTATGTGTCAAGCCACTTCTGTCATTTCCGTATGTGGTATCCAAGCTTCCTCTTTCACTGATAGCTCTGTAAAGTTAACAAGAAACCTTGCAGTAGAGAAGAAATATGTGTTTACAATTAAGGAAATGGATATTATATCAAAGGTCTTGGTGAAATTTCATGGAACACTAACTAAACAGGACTGTTGAGAGGGACCTGGCCTGTCCATAAAAAGCTAGAAATTGCCCAACATCAAATAAGCCTTTGCTTGAATGTGTGCTAATAACGGATTCCATGTTACAATCTCTCCAGTGGCCTGCAAGCTTTGAGAACTTCTAATTGTAAGCCTTATTCTCTGCTGAAGCCATCAACTGCTGCAATTAATGGGATTCACTTCATATTGTGATTCTATACTTTGGCAAGGCCCAACGTGACCCATCTGTAGGTCTTCTCAAGCTTGTCTCTTTTAATTATATTGGTTTAAAAAAAAAAAAAAGGACAAGTTTGTTTTGCTCTTTTATGGAGAAGTATTTAAAAATCCCAAATGAAAATTAAAAACATATGAAATACTAAGCTGATCAGATCAAGTCCCATATGCCCTAATCACAACTCAACTTTAACACTTGTGAGAAAGAAAGACTGGCTTTCAGGGGTAATTTAACAAGCAATTTTCTGCCTTCTTCCGCCTCTGAAAGTCTTAAGGCTGAACTTCCTAGGCTGGCCCACAAGTAGTCATTGTCAGAAGCACCTAATTCCTCTCCAGGAAATGCACATGAAAAATGATCACCTCCCTATATGAACATAACCCTTAACCCCGCCATGTCACCCACACCGTGATTTCTCCCAATCAGCTCTTCTCTCCAACAGGACTGCAGTTGCTGGTCTGCATGTGTCCCCCAGTGATTTCAGTCCCACATCTCCTCGTGCTCCTTCTCTTCTCAGTTAACCTTGTGCTCCAAGCTCATCACGTCAGTCCTTCTGGACAGCTCCCTCTCTCATTCTCCACAAAACAAAATCACTGTGCTTGCCCAGCTGTCCTGGTCTAGCAGTCTGTTAGTGCACTCAGAAAAGGAAGTGAGAGGCTTAGTCTGTTTTTTATTAAAAGTTAAATCATGATGTGTCCTCATGATTCCCTCTTTATCTCTAGGTGCTTATGAACTGTGCTGGTAATTCACAATGTGTTTTTCCGTTCTATCAACTTAAGCGATTTGATCCATTCCTGTCAGTAATAGTGTCCGCTAAAGCAGAAATTCTCCATTTTGGATCCATACCTCCCCTGGGGTGCTATTTTCCAGCAGCACTGGACAGTAAGCAAATGTGGTTTTAAAAAGTCCTTGGTGACAATGACCTGACTCCACGCTTGCCACTGCGCTGCCTCCTATGGAGATATTCTCTCTCATCCTCCTCTCTCCAGTGGAAAATATCTGGGTTTAGCATGTGGCCAGAAGTTGGCTTAAAATATGCGCCAAACCTCATAGTTTCTGGGGCTCACAGAAACTGGGAGCTCCTCCCCTTTTAAGCTTTGTAGTGACTTATGTGTTTCTTCTAGTCATGCAACTACCTACCGTGTCCTCTGCATCTGCACCTGAACAGCTAACAATTGCTGAAGAATATCACACACCCTGACAGCTAACAGCGCACATAAAATGTGTGATTGTGAATCTCGAATGAGCATCTAACAATATAGGACACTTCCAATATACCTCCACAGCAGAGTCACTTTTCTACCCTTAGAGACAACTATCTGACATCTCCTCTCTCCCCAAATCCTCTCATCCTCCATTGGTCTCACCTCATACTTCATGGAGAAAAGAGACACCATCATGTATTTCACCTTGTCTTACCCTTAATCTCAACAAATTACCTGTAAATGTGGCCATATCCCCTTCTTTCCCTTGACTTCGGGTGGAAGATGTGTCTCTGTTTCTATTTAAGATAATCATATCCTCCATCTTTTTAAAGACTTCATTTTTAAAATCATTTCTGTTTTGCATCATTAATTTCTCCTTTTTGCTGGATCCTTCTCTTCAACAAACATGCCTTGATATCACTAACTTAAGTCCCCTTCTCTTGATTTTCCATCTCTCATCAACTATTGCTCATTCTGGCTGGAATTCACAGTAAAACTCCTGGGAGACTTTCATGCAGTCATTGGCCCCCCTTTTCCACTTCCCATCTTCTCCTCAACCGATTTTGGTTGAGCTCTCATCAAAGTCATCACAGGTATAGCACAGATATGGCCAAGTCTTTGATGACTTCCATCTTGCCATATCCAATGGTGACTTTTCAGTTTCCAGTTTATTGAAACCCTCTCTAGTATTTCATCACTACATCTTTCTTGAAATACTTTCTT